AGCCTGGTATAACCGCACATTACCACGGTCATGACAGGCCTTGCAATATAATACAGCGTTGTCACAGTTATACCAAGCTTACACAATAACACTGCCTCGGTCATGGCAGGGTCTTTGCGCTACTTAAAAATACTGAATAACATGGTGACGGTTACGCCAGGCGTAAGTCTTGCAATAGATAGCATGTGCTCCATGTTCATATTTAGGAAAATTAGTCAGATATTATTTTTCAAGTAAAGTATTTTTCTATAAGTCAATAAAATAGGTCCCATTGATTGAGTCAGAAAAAAATTCAATGTCAACAAACAGCTGATCAGGGGAAAAACTGGGTCACTTGCGACTTTCAATGATTGAAATTGCATTCACTCAGTGTCACCAGGAGTTTGTACAAAGATCACATAGGAAGGGAAGTAACATGATGTTATAGGTGTGCTCAAAATTCTACAATAGTATTGTTTAAAGAATTAGATCTCGGCTAGAGTTGTAGGGCCCTACCCTACATTTTGAAATTTAACTCATTCGAAAATAGATTTAAATTTCCCGTTTATTTTCCACTAATTTCGCATTATACGAGAGACAAATGGTATATTGTTTCTATAGATACTTGTTTATATAATTAATCAATAATTTCTTTGAAATACAGACAAATAACTTTGTAAACTCACCTTTAATACGACGAGACCGAAAATTAAATTCAAATCCAATATGGCGGGAAATCTACATCCGGGACTTTCGTCAATCTACAACTTTAATATCTCGACACCACTTTTCAGAGCAAAATGGGCATGTTGTGGTCATAAATAAATTGGCGATTTATGATGCTATTTTATCCGATATATACTCAATTTCATTAGAATGAGTGAAGCACTCCGAAAAAACTAATAATATGAGCTAGGCCTCAAAAAGACCAAATCACTAGTACTCAAACTACCAATTCACCTCTTTCTACTCTTTTTTTGCACTTGCTTCACTTGATAAATTAATTTTCAGCATATTTGACTTTTGCATGCGAGATTTCAAGTCATATAGTTAAGTATTTGTACTGCCCATTTTTACTCGAAAACTTCTGTCATTTTTCTGAAGGTAAGAAATTTAGGGGCCACCATCTTGAAATACGAACGTCATAAAAATGTAATCAAAATTCATATTTTTCAACAAATATGCGGTACTAGGACATTAAACGTACAACAAAACTATCAGTTTGTGTAAGTAGTGTATATTTATTTAATAATATTCATTTTTACGGTATTTTATAACATATTTCATGGATAAAATGGATCATATTCAGGTTGTCCGTGGATAATTGCTAACGTCAGAACCCCCTAATTAAATGACCTACCTCGATACATTCCAGAGTATTTTAGAATTTTTTTTATGTTGTTAGATCGCCAATTGTATGGGTTTATCGGCAGAACGAAGATATTTTCTTTTTTGATAGCAATATTTGCGTGTAATATTTAACTTATTTCAACCGTCAAATTCCTCCATTCAGTCCCCGGCATGCACCAATCATAAGGGAAATCCCTGGGTGGGGAATTCCCCTTCCGACATTTTGAAAATTGCTGACATATTTCCGATGTAAAAACTAAAATCTCTTCGTTCTGCCGATAAACCCATACAATTGGCGATCTAACAACATAAAAAGAATTCTAAAATACTTTGGAATGTATCGAGGTAGGTCATCTAAAAGTGCAATGTGTAGTTCATTCTCCGACATTGTACAAAGACAGGCTTACCAATGAATAGGGCGTACAACCACAATCTAAAGTGGTCGGTAGGATACGATAAGTTAAACCTAGTCTGGACCTTATTTCTTATTTGATATATCTTGTGGCCCGCCCTTGGTTTAAAGTCTGTGCCTATTCGGCTCTTAATGCCAAAAATTTAATGATGGCCTTTGGTAGCGCATGGAATTCCATGCGCGGTTAATTAATAACTGATAGTGATAATTTGCAACAAATAAAAGCATAGCACGGAAGTTAAACCCAACCACAGCAACAAGAACATTCTGATTAATAAATGAAAGTCGTGGTATTTGGTTTAACTTGTTGAACTTATCAGCCCTTAGCATAGGATTTGATCCTATGTTTCAGATTAACAATTTTCCCATTGGGAAATGGCACATGGGAAAGACAATGTGACGTCATATAGTGTGATTGACAACCTGGAAAGACAGGTAAACTTAATAATGGGTCCAGAGAACTGGGCATGTAAGTCATGACTGTGATGCCATTTATGCAATCTACAATCCCTCTATGCGAAAGAGTCAGTTCGCTCCGTAGCTCAAGTGGTAGAGCATCTGACATGTAAAACTGATGAATATTCAAGTTTAAGGGAATTTTGTAATACCCTGCCATGTTATTTCCCCAGAATCAGTCACCTGTTGGCGTAACCGGTAACTACCTACTCGCATCTGAATAATTGGAGGTGCATAGATCCCCAAAGCTAGCATGAAGAGTGAAGTGAGGCAATTTTTTGAAAGTTTCAAGGAGTAGCCTTGCAACAGTCACACATTTGCAAGAATCCCAAATTTTCACATATCATCTTACCTTACCAAGGAACAACGAAGGAGCATGAAAATGTGTACTTCTTGGTGTAGTCACAAAACTTGTATGAGGATTAATCAGGAAGTCAAGAGTTGTACTATTGGAATTTTGACTTACATCAGAGCCGGGCAGCAGCTATTCTTATTTTGACAAACTTTTTGAGAAAATTGAAATTTTTCAATGTAGCATCAACTTATGAATTGATTGCTTAGCTTCTCTGAGTATCCCATGTGATTATTTTATCCCAATCAATACATACATGATTAATGCAAAAGATTTCCATACCTTTGGGATACTCGACTGTCATTTTCAAGGTATTGTACAAAATTAAGGATAAGTGTTGGAAATTTCAAAATTCTTCAATAGTGGCACTTCTCCTAATTTACATGTGAGATCTCGCGAGAACAAAAGAAATAGGGGGTTTTGTTAGAGTCGCTTTTCACTCATTTATATCTAACCTTCTTCGTCATAATTTTGCTTTTTTTTATGTCAAGCTTCATATTTTTTTGAAACTAGTTCGACTCTTTGATTGTTTACAGGGTGCAAAATGACTGTATAAATCTCGGTGTCACCAGGGATACCTGGGGGGAACCTATGTGTATTTTAGCATCAGCTGGAAATAAATAGGTCAACAGATTCGTTTCATCAGTTTATTCATTAAATTGATAGAAATATTATGGTTTAGCAGGGCACTGATAAATCTTTGAAGGAAAACAATGTAGCTTTCTAGTGGTGCAAGAATTTTCCAGATTAAGGTAAGAAGCTCTGAGAAAAGGTAAAAATATCATATCGTTAGTTTTTGACTGGCTGCTCAGAACTGCCATTTTTTATACAGTAGGACATTTACTTGTAGTGTCACCTTCTATATCAGACTAGGATGTGTGTGTAATGACGTAATTTATGCTTTCTCGAAGACTGACTTTTGTTTTAAGTCATTTCATAATGTCAGATTTCAGTGTTGATTTTTCAATTAGGTTTACGTCATCTGTGACATCATTCATATGTTGCCTGAGCAACAATTAAACAAGAAGACTTGTCATTAATTTGCATAATGTTCATATCAACTAATGTTTCCTGAATTTCAAGATTGTGCAGTTATTAATAGTACATGTCTCGTATATGTATTGCCTATAGCTTACGCATGAACATTGCGAAGTCCGTTAACATGGATATGAATGGTAATCTGTCTAGATTATATTAGATCCTGTATGGATAAACATGATAGATCACAAAGGTGCAATTTAAACTTAAAGTGTGATCTGTCATTGTGATACAATTTATCTTATCAATTTGTCTTGTTAAAAGAGGTTTTGTAATTTTTTCCCTGTGTAAAGTGCATGTCCATTGGCTGAAATATAGCTCCTATTTACATATTGACTTGTTCAAGATTGGTTTTGCTAGAGTTAGGTATTTCTGTTGTCCTAATTTTTTTCGCTTTGATAATTGGTAAAATGATAAAATCAGGGATTTCAAATCAATCTTGATTATCTTGGACGTTGGCAAAGTAATATTTTTATTAAAGGAAGTTAATCCCAATTTCATGGAAGAATTGTTTTTTCTTCATCTGTATTGTTGCAACATTGGAGTCTTAAAGCTATAACTCATCTCATTAATCAGAACACTTAACACTGGATGAGAAAGAAAACATTGTATGTGCGCAATTAATAATGTTATTAGAACGATAATATGAATAAAGATTACGATAGTTATATCCCAATGCTCAATATACTTTGATCTAACATTTATAAGTGCAATGTTGCGGGAGTTTTATTAATATGCTCATATTATCTTTGTATTTTATTTTTATACATACTGGATTACTGAAGGTTGAATCGATGTCCTGTATTTTCTCAGTGACAGAATTCGCACAAAACGCCAACTATACATGTAGTTGCGCGCAAAAATTACCAGGAGTACAGTATACCTTTGAAGCAGTTCATTAATATTGTGCACAATGGTTTAATTTGTGTGAATATTTGTGCATTTCTCATTGCATATTTTTTATTCTTTGCAATCTGTCCTCTTCTCCATTATCTTCATCTGACAGAGTTGAGAAATTGACGACAGACCTCAGTTAGAGGTATATGTAGGAGACTAGAGAGTTGTTCCAAGTTTTCCATTTCAATTATTGTTGCTGTTTCAGGAGAATCACATGATTTATCACATATCATAAAATCTCATCATGAGATGTGATAGCCGTCTATCTATTTCTTATTAGAAACAAAGAGTTCTCTCCTGAAAACGAGGGGTCATGTCTTCGATCGCTACTGGAGTAGACTGAATTTTTCACACCACCCCTTTGCACAGGATTACATTTTGTGTTTTCTTTAACCTTTCTAGAAACACAATTGCAGGTTGCAAAACAGATGTGACAAATGTAAGAATTATGAAATGTTATTATTTTAAGTGTCATATCTGTTAACATTAACTTATTTTTCAATGCTTTATTTATAGGCGTCCCATTTCCTCCTAGTCATCGTCTAACAATGAGTGAGGTGTTTGATGCCAAAGGCAAGCCAAGACCCGATGTCTTAAAACAACATTTTATCCTAGAGGGTAGAGTGACAGAAGATGTCGCATTGAGGATCATAAATGAAGGAGCTGCCATATTGAGAACAGAGAAAACCATGATAGACATAGACGCACCTGTCACAGGTATGTATAGCCAAATTCAATTAAATTTTGGTTTTGCCTTAGTTAAGATCAATGGATGCATTTTCTGATTGCTCCAATGATGGAGATAACTTTTGTAAGATGGCATTGATTTGATGTTATCTGGGTAGATTCTTTTTCTCCGACCCTTACCTTGGGTAGAAAATACTCTTTATCACAGTGATAATACCCAATGTATAATAACTCTTCAATTGTTTAAGAGCATATACTTAAAATCATTGTCTCATCACTTAAGTAGTACTTGATACCATACCCTGTATTACTGATGACATTTTGGTTCTCACTGTAAACATGAGAACTGGTTTTATATGTTATTTGATTCCCACCCTTGTTTGTCCCAACGTGGGATCTACAGCCGATACTATACCTTGGAATACCCAAGTATTAGATAAAGAGGAACTCTTATAAACCAGAATGTGTTTGTCCTGTTTTGAATATTTGGGATATTTCTCACAATAATGCAACAATGTTCCTTATTTGAAGGGGTACCCATAAACAAAACATCCCTTTTGTGATTATCTTGAATGGCAAGCCTAGAATATAGATTTCTTTGGATAAAGAACAAAATATATTTGCTCAGTTGTTGAATAAGAATTCATTGAAAATACACTACCAAAGCAATTTAGCTGAATATACCCAGCTAAAATATTGTTTTAGTAAAACAATCCGTTAGTTAAAACCAACATCTTATAAAAATACTAATATACATACAAAGATATACTGTAGTTTGGCTTTGACATTAGATTTGTTCCGTCTGTCCGTCCGTCCGTCCGGGCAATAACTCAAATACCATTGGCCCGATTTTGTTCATATTTTGTACACATATACCCTATGGGGGTAGAAGTTCTGCTCGAAGGCGATTTTCAAAATGGCCGCTCATTTCAAAATGGCGGCCATTTTAAAATGGCGGCCATTTTAGTGACAATTTTACAGTAATTTAGGTACAATATGTAAAACTGTAATAGCAATATGTTTTAAATTTAAAAAAATTATAAAGGACATTAATAATACTACAAATGTAGATTTTAAAGAAGCACATGGCAGCCATCTTGAAAAATGGCGCCCTTTACTTGTCATTTTACGATTTTTACTATAACTCGAAAAGTAGTGGAGTGATTTTGTTCATATTTGGTATGTGAATACTATAAGCATGGCACACTGTCCTATGGCACTTTTGGTAGAAGGCAGCCATTTTGAAATTTTTTTTGAAAAATAGCCGCCATTTTAACATATTATACTATAACTCGAAAAGTAGTGGAGCGATTTTGTTCATATTTGGTATGTGAATACTATAAGCATGGCACACTGTCCTATGACACTTTTGGTAGAAGGCGGCCATTTTGAAAACAATTTTGAAAAATGGCTGCCATTTTAACGTATTTTACTATAACTCGAAAAGTAGTTGAGCGATTTCGTTCATATTTGGTATGTGAATACTATAAGCATGGCACACTGTCTATTTCTAATGACGCTTTTGGTAGAAGGTGGCCATTTTGAAAAATGGCCGCCATTTTAATGTATTTTACTATAACTCGAAAAGTGAATACTTTAAGCATGGCACATTGTCTAATAAAACTTTGGGGAGTAGTCGGCCATTTTGAAAAATGCCACCATTTTTATGTGTGTTATTTTGTAAGTACATGTGCAATTTTTCAAAAATTTTAGAGGTGGCTACTTAAAAGCATATTATTTCTTCTGATGACTTGGCTAGTGAGCAACCATTTTGAAAATGGTGGCCTTTCTGGTGTGTTGTTTTATGATATTTACGCTTCGTTTGTAAAAATGCCAGCCATTTCTGTTCGATGGGATTCGCTACGCTTTGGCGTTGCCGTTGTTCTGGTTAGGTATAGAAAGTATACTACAGCTATATTAGGATTCTGGCTACAATAAGCTGCACACAATAAGCTTCATAATTGTTGTGAATTGTATTTGTCTCCAGAGGATTTGCTATTACATGGAGTTGATTAGATGGCAAATGGTTCAATTCTAATTGCTTATGGTTATATAAGAAGCTATAGCATATGTAGTCTAATCAATATATTCAGTGCCATGGTTACCCTGAGTATTAGAGCCTAGTACATTATCGTAGATGAAGCTCTCTTTTGAAGGAGCAATCTTAATCAATTTTCAGTGATAAAGACGTATATAAACACATGACATTTTTAATTATCATTATGTAAATAACATAAAATTATTTGTATATATGACGGTATGCACATTTATATAACTGATGGCTGTGTTGACTTATACATGCATATACTGAAGTTGAGAACACATGTAAAAATGCATGGTGGGTCATATGTCAGAGAGACTATCATGTTTAAGAGTCAATAAAATATCTATATACTGTAATATCAAACTATTGGAAAGGTTATGGTATAGTTACATACATTTTCCCATTTATTGTAGATGGGGATCAACTTATGAATCATGCTTTCTTTGATCAAGATGATAATTTAATATTGAATAACTGTTACAAAAACAAATTGCAACTAAAATCTTTAATGAGTTGACAGAATCCCACGATGATCAGAATAATTAAATCTTATCGTAGATTGCCTTATTATCACTGAATACCGCACTTATATACCAGTTTATAAGCTCTGCAAAAGAAAACGAATACAGTTATTAAGTGTATTGACCATCTGAGAACTACAAAATCTGAAAGAGATAATGACCAGAAATTAGCACACACTTGTTATCCTAGCCTTTACCTTAAACTCTGCATGTATTATATTAGGATTCTGTTTCTCCCAATGTAATTATTAGTAATTGTAAGAACCAGTTTAAAGCAATATATCTTTAACCTTGTATAATTTCATGAGTTAAAGCTGACTCCACCTTGAAGGTCATTTCCTCTTAAGCTGACTATATTTGAAGCTGACTATCCCTTATTGAAGTGGACTATCTTTTACATTATCTCTAAAGCTGATTACCTTTGCTAATATATTCAGTACAGGATGCATTTTCTGTGTAACATACAGAAGCAAGTGCTGATTTGTTTGATGTGAAAGAGTTAAGAAACTCATGTGTTGCGTTCGATGTATCTGCATTTACCTTTGAGCAGATCTGAGATGCCTGGTTAAACTGACATACTTCCTCATGCAAGCAACTAAGATATACTTCACTACAGCAAGCATATTGGGTTGAAGCCTCCCATTAGTTTACATATTTGCCGATATGACAGCTGGAATACAAAACAAAGTAATGCAAAATAACAAGAACACGGAGAACATTCCATTTATTTGAAAACTGGCCTGAACCTACAAAATCACATAAATGGAGATCATAGCATATCTGTTAATTTCTAGAATATTGCTAGTTTTGAAAACAGAAAGATTTAATGAGTATCTGAATGTCAAATCCACATCTACCTTGACTAAGTTGTATCTAGAAAGCACATTGGGCAACAATGGAAAAATCACAGAGTAAAACAAGAACTATCTTCAGATTATTTTCAGTTATGAGTATGATCTAAGTGGAAATACATGTAAAGTCAAGGTGATGAACATTTCAATTTGCATCTTTGATGTGAACCCTCATATCACTTTCATTCATTATTCCTAGGGCTGCCATCGAACTCAAATGTCAGTGTCGACAGTCGAACTCTGCTGTCGAAAATATTGTCGACAATCGAACTTTCCAGGGAGAAAAAATCATCGGGAAAAAAAAGGCGAAGAATTTATGTTGACATTTTTATCTGGTTCATTAACACACTTTATACACTATCGGGGAAAAGCTTCATATAACTTATATTCATATTGGTATGTAATTGCCTAATATTGTTACTAAATGCCAAGTTAATAGAATATTATAGACGAAAATGGGACAAATACCTGCAATGTTTCGACCGGGATTTATTTCGACTGCTCGGGCGAAATCTCGTACAACGTCTCGCAAGAGAGAAGAGAAGTCATGAAGGGAACTTCCGGGTGAATTTATTTTTTGAAAATGAAATGAATGTGAACAATATTTCCGCAGAATACGCGCACATAACACGTTGAAATGTGTATTGAAATGTATTGGGGCCATTTGGATATTTTCAAGTAAGTATTGATATCGTTTGCTGTCGACATGACGGGAATTTTGTCGACTTCGTTGTCGAACTTGCATTTTGACTGACAAGTCGACGTTCCGACTAATGATGGCAGCCCTAATTATTCCATCTGAAGAAACATATGGAAATGGTTAAATCATTTCGGATTGATTTTTCCTACAATAAGGTTATTATTATACATAGTACTATATCATGTGCATGTATTATTCTCAAAAGTCCTTGCTTAACCTTATTTTGAATATAGGATTCTTCAGGTAATCATCCCATATGCTCTTTAAATGCCAGCAAATACATAACATTTTTCTCCACTTATAAAGCTAGCTCCTAAAACATGCTGTACTTACCTAGTTATGCTTAGATTACAAATATTTACCTGCCCTCGGTTATTATAGCATATAAAAGTCACATCCTCTAAAAGTAGAGTTTACCTGCCATTGGTTATTATAGCATATAAAAGTCACATCCTCTAAAAGTAGAGTTTACATGCCCTTGGTTATTATAGCATATAAAAGTCACATCCTCTAAAAGTAGAGTTTACCTGCCTTGGTTATTATAGCATATAAAAGTCACATCCTCTAAAAGTAGAGTTGTTCTCCTTAACTCTCAAACTCAAATTTTGGGCTGATATCTCATACCGCTGCATTGGAAGTCAATTGACGATGTCGAAAAAATCATAAAAATATAAGTGAATAAATGTGGGTGAAGAGTGCAAATACTCTTGCTAGTATGGTAGTGTATCAGAAGTTTTGCATACATGTTGGCAACTTTCTTATCCTTTGTTAAGGAACCAACAAATATGCAGATTTTGAACTATAAAATAGCATAAAATCAATGGTCATCCTTATAATTGCAAACTCAGCCTGACTGGTGACAGTAATGACATATGGTGGTAGGCCTCATTCTCATAAGTGAGGAATTTGTACAAAAATAAGCATATATAATAATACAAACCTTTGGAAACATTACATAAACAACTAAGGAACTGAAATTCACATTATAACCAATCTATAGATTTACCTACATCACTCCATATCAAGTGTATCTTCAAAAACTGCTGTTAGTCTATAGAGTTAATTGACACTATGTATAGTCTTGCTTCAAGACTCTATACCCTCCCCCATATACATCACCATCCCAACACAGCACAGTGTTGAGAAGGTGAAATAAAGGGTGAGGGGTACACAGCCTTGAAGCAAGACTATATTATATACAGCTGTACACATAATCATTACTCCCTAGTCATTGGAGCATTCTGTAATTGTGAGCAGAGCTGTCTTATCAGATAGATGCCAAATCCTTGATAGAGGGAATACTGTATTTCCTTAGTAACAACCATTTAACAACTACATTAACAACCCTGTAATCATGAATGATGTACAGGTATGGAACAGTATGTGTGCTAGGTTAACTCTACTCTCATATTACTGACATGTATTGTTGATATGTCCATAACTTCCAAAAACTCAAATTTACTCTCTATTATGTTCAAGATTATTCTTTGATCTAGCCTTAATCAAATCAAAACATGTAGCCAAAGCACAACACTGTACCAATGGGTAGATAACAATACTGATTTATCATGAGATCAACTGACTTAATGTTAAATGAACTTCTGTAAGTAGAACACCTCTCAAAAGGAACACTTTGTAGAAGTACCAAAAGTGTTCCATTTAAACAAGTTTTACTGTATACTTTAGAACTTATATTTCTTTTAATTTGTTTTAATCTTCCTCTTTCTTTGTTTCAGTATGTGGAGATATACATGGACAGTTTTACGATTTAATGAAACTATTTGAAGTAGGCGGCCCACCGGCAACAACACGCTACCTCTTTTTAGGTGACTATGTAGACAGGGGATACTTTAGCATAGAAGTAAGTCTAACTCTGTAGTATTGTAAAGTCTAGTGAACAGCCCCATATAACTATAGTTCTCTAATCTAGTGTACAGCCTCAGAAATGGCAAAAATTCTTGGAGGGTGTAAAGTTTTCCTAGGAGGTGTCATTTATTTGGGAAACTGTTAATATTCTAGGTTTTATTTCCATTTCCTTGCCTAGAGCTAAATTCTGGCAATATAAAAGGAATATTATTTTACAGATTCATAAGTGATCGGGCATTATTTAGCTGCCATTTTAAATTGAAGCAGAAGCATATTGCTGTTGACTCTCTGTTTCTCAACAAAAGAGCACGGTATAATCTGAAATAGATCATCATGTTACCTGAGGCATTAATGGACCATCATGATAAACCATGACATCTCAATTCTTCTCAGGCATGAGATAACATAGTATCATGTTACTAGTAAAGTTGTGATCAGTATAAGAATGTTAATAGACTGACATTTTGGAAAGTGATTTCAGACAATTTTCTTCCGCCATTTTAAAACAAAATCTGGCTCAATTTTTCATAACCATACACCCCAAGTTTTTAGCGAACAGTTTTGAACTTACATTGGCATTAAGGTAGGATATATCTTGATTAAATAATACTAACTTGCAAGAGTGTTAGTAATGTGTACATCATTTAACCACAAGGCTGTTTTGTATACACAGGTTTGTAATTAGTACTAAGTTATGCTGGTCAGAATTATCATTATCAGGAATAGATAAAATTAAACTTCATGATGAAGTGAAAGGTTGAAATGAGCTATATTGTATTTGTTAAACTACAATGTCTCTGAAATGTGATTCTCTGACATTTCTATTATCATCTAGTAGCCGACGATGTTATCCTTAGATTTATTAGTTTACCAAAGACCTGGAAAATAACCAATTAAATCAAAATAGATGAAGTATAATGCCACTAAACATCAAAGAAACTAATCATATTTTGCAAATGGTGCTTATTTTGTATTGAGATTACTCATTTAGCAGTGTATGAATAGCTTCAGATGATTACAACAATACTACATTGATAGCTATCCAGGTGTCTTATTAATATCCTTCAGTACATTTTTTTTTTCTATAAAGCACATGTAACATGTATGGATGAGGTCAAATCTTGATATAATCTCCTTACATTTTGATGCTTTACATATTTATATTGTTAATTGAATGACCTAATAAGAAAATGCAGTAAAAAAGGTTGAGGTGAAGAAACCCAAATACATGTGAATGCATTGATAATTTAGAGAAGGGATGAAGGAAATCTATACGCTTGAATTAGATTGTTAATCAGTTTTTCCATGAGAGATTTGTGCCATAATGGCACTTATATCATTACCAAGTGGTATAGCACACCAACCCACGCATTGGTTAGTCTACAAATGAAATGATAACATAAAAAGTTAAAGGAAATTTGTATTCAACCAAGAATTATCAGGTCATGCTGGCTTCATTCTCTTGTTTCTCTTGCGTATTACATGAATCTTGATAAAGAAAAATGGTATTGTTGTATTCAAGACATTTTTGTTGTGAAAAACACTGGTATCATGTTTCAGATTTACAATACCAATGTAAATAATCTGATAGCACTGAGCTTGTATTTGAAAGCTAGATGTTTATTTGCGAGAATTGTGAGAAAGGGCATTATTGACATTGCATATTCTCAGTTTAATGGTAAATATTTATTCATCTGATTATGATAATACAAAGCACATCATTTCCCTGGATGTGTAATACTTGATAATTTACTTGACTGACAATGATCACTTTTAGCTAGAAGTTCATGTGAATATATAATACTTGACTGACAATGATCACTTTTAGCTAGAAGTTCATGTGAATATATAATACTTGACTGACCATGATCACAATTAGCTAGAAGTTCATGTGAATATGTAATACTTGACCGGCAATGATTACTATTAGCTAGCTAGAAGTTGATGTGAATATATAGTAATACTTGACTGACAATGATCACAATTAGCTAGAAGTTCATGTGAATATGTAATACTTGACCGGCAATGATTACTATTAGCTAGCTAGAAGTTCATGTGAATATGTAATACTTGACCGGCAATGATCACTATTAGCTAGAAGTTCATGTGAATGTGTAATTTACTTGACGACAATGATCACTATTAGCTAGAAGTTCATGTGAATATGTAATACTTGACCGGCAATGATTACTATTAGCTAGAAGTTCATGTGAATATGTAATACTTGACCGGCAATGATCGCTATTAGCTAGAAGTTCATGTGAATATGTAATACTTGACTGACCATGATCACTTTTAGCTAGAAGTTCATGTGAATATATAATACTTGACTGACCATGATCACTATTAGCTGGAAGTTCATGTGAATATGTAATACTTGACTGACCATGATCACTATTAGCTGGAAGTTCATGTGAATATGTTATACTTGACTGACCATGATCACTATTAGCTGGAAGTTCATGTGAATATGTAATACTTTACTGACCATGATCACTATTAGCTGGAAGTTCATGTGAATATTTAATACTTGGTTTACCGTGATCACTTAGCTGGAAGTTCATGTGAATATGTTATACTTGACTGACCATGATCACTATTAGCTGGAAGTTCATGTGAATATGTAATACTTGATTGACCATGAACACCCATCTGAATATAAAACATTATACTGACAATAGCTTTAAGTTAATCTAAAACAATTAACTGAACATGCTCTCTTTTAACAGAGCGTAAAGGTTCATCTGGAAAGGAAATGATAAGCTGACCATGTGAAACCAAATTCAAAACCTTAAGTTACAAATTGCTTTGCGAATTATGTATTCATTAATAACATAGGTTTTTACATGTAGTAGATTGTATCTTTTGTATCTGCTGTCTGGGGAAATTCTTTTATCTTTAAATGCAGGCTAAAAGTAAACAATCTGGTTAACAAACTCAAAATTTTCATTTTTACTGTCGCAGCTTACATTGCCCGAGCATATGACATAGCATCTTACATTCATCTGTTGTATGTGTATGATGATTGATGAACTTCTCCTTTACAAAGTCAAGCACCATCTAACAAGTATTAATATGAAATTTGATGTTTACTGAAGGAGTCCCTAAACATTATATACCTTGCTGTACTAGCCTTATATTTTGTAAACATATAGCAAAATCAAATTAAACAGATTTGCCATATTTAGTGTTGACTTTACCAGCTTTATTGGTCAAAGAGTTTAATCCCATCAACGGACCATAGAAACTAGGAAATTCCCCTCGGTTATACTGTAAATATGAAAAAATTGGTTTAAATTTTTGTTCATTTGTACTTATGATTCATACAGGGTGTGACCAACACTTCTTTAACATGTAATTAGATTTTTATACTTCTTTGTGTTCAGTGCAATAAGTATGAAAAGGTGGACCATTCAGCTATGGATTTCAGTTATATTCTGCTATGTTTCTGTCTATTGTACCATTGGGAAATCAATTCGTCGTGACATTTAGGAATTCTCACCTATGCTGTACATATAGAGCAAACTGCATCCAGAAATATATGTAGAGTTCGCATACTATTGTTCGTGTATAATTATTCTATGCTCGTTATTGCCTGGGACATATAGGTTAACTAGAATCATAGAAGGATGAAATAGATAAAGTGACTTAAGGTGTTATTAATAAAGCATTGATTATGTTTGCTGGGCCATGTATCTAGACATGCAAGATTGCAGATGAAGTTATAAGTTTGTGATCAATCATCATACTGAATATTACATATTCCATTTCTGTTTTACTTGTATACTCTAGGGAGCATTAACAAATTGTTTATTTGCAGCATAAAGCTTATCATGGGGAGCAATGTGACCCTGATGTTGTTTGTTATTCAGTGAATACCACTGAATACTTCACTTCCGTAGGGACTGGATACCCAAAACCAAATTACTTTGTGCTCAGCTTAATCTCTGATATTATGCTAAAGGGTCCAGCCAATAAATCAACATCTGGTAATAAACATGATTAATAATTTCATTTTGATTTGACCACCATCCTTCCCACTCGAAAGTATTAATTTGTGTGTGTCTCAACAACTAAAAGTAGATCATGCTGACCCGCTTAGAATATATTATGTGATATGATTTCCTTTGAAACTGTTATATATCCTATGTCATCCCTCTATGAATATCAGAAACCGTTTTAAATCACAATTTACATGTAGAACTCGAATACTGCTAAAAGAAATAAGTATCGTGATGAGGAAAGAATATAAATTCAGAAATACTAGAAATCAATAGCTACTGCAAAATGAAATGGGCTTAACAGCCTTTATTGTCCCAAATAAAAACATGAAGTGGAAGTATTTTCATTAATATATTGAACAAACCAACCTCTAAAGTATTATCGCCCCAGTCTAGATGAAGATCATTGTTCTGTGCATCGGTAAAAATACTGCTATCTGATTGGTGAATAGGGAGTACATAATTAATTTTTATAGGGTCCAACTTTTTTGTGGATCTTGTTTGGTATTCAGTGTTTTGCGCGCAGCATCTGTAAAAAATGGCAGGTGATGAGATTTTGCATGTTAATAGTTTGTTCTGTTCTTTACATTATCCTGGGATTTTGTACAAATATTAACTATTGTAATTAATCAAAATCCATAATTTTTGTTCAATTTATCGATTATGTTATTCACAATCCTTGATACACGGAGGTCAACAACAGTGTAAATAGATACTGTAATTGTAGAAAACATTGATCCCTGAGCTAGTTTGTCAATAACATTCAAAGCACTTGGTGTTGTGATAACCCTAGAGTTGCATCATAGTATTGGACAGTATTGTCCCTGAAATATACACCATCTGGCTGAGTATACTGTATTTCCAAAACCATCCATTGATATACACTGGGGAGTATCGTGATGCAACAACACCGTGTTGTTGCATCAAGATGGCCGGACTTCCGGTGATAGATTTTCGTACGATATTTTGTTTCCCCAATTAAACCCATTTCTAG